CATTGAGCTACATTCTCAGCTTTTTTGTTGCTTATTTTGAGGCAGAGTTTCACTAACTTGCCCAGGCTGACCTTGAACTTGTGATCCTCCTGCCACAGCTTCCCAAATACCTGGGATTAAAGGCAGGAGTCATTGCAGACAGCAGCTTCACTACTTCTGTTCGTTTTTTTCAAGTTCACTTGAAGGGAAACCTCCAAAACCTAGAAGAGGAAAGCAGATCCTTAATTTTACCTTTAAAAATACAGAGTTTAGATTATGGTAAAGTGACAGTTTGCCCTTTCACAGATATTTTTTCAGAAATAAGGATACTAATGTTACTTTGCTCTTCTGTAGTCTCTACCCCAGATCCAAAGACAGTTTAATTCTCATGGGATTGCAGGCTATGTTGCAGCCTTACCTAGATCCACAGCCAGGCTTCATACCTGAGGCATCAGGGTGCTCACCAGGAACACCCACTACTGTGATTACTGCCTACATTGCAATTGTTTGACTGGCATGGCCCTAAAACCACTCTTCTGCTGTGAATCCTAACATAATGACTGTGAACATATTCTTATAAGTATGACAGAAGAATAAGACTGCACATCCAGATCTCTGCCCTTGCAATATCTAGAAGCAGTTTATCAGAATGGCTTGCTTCTTGTTTTATTAATCTGTCTGAAACAAAGTCATTGTTGGAGTTCTATCTTGCTCTTGGAAGTAGGCTTGGGAAAAACATAGTACCTCAGAATTAAATTCAAGATACAGTAGTAAACTTGGAATCAAACAAATTTGGCCGGAAGCCCCCCTCTGTCACTGATTACCATGTACCCTGGCCCATTCATCTAACTTCTTAGGAGATTTAGTTTATTCACCTCTGAAATGAAGTTCATAATATTGCCTCTACTAACCTTGTGCAGTTGTTGTAAGGTTCAAAAATGTGTCAGTCATCTTCCCATCACTCTAATAAATACTGGAGAAGATTGATTCACAGGGAGAAAAGGTTTATTTTGGCTCACAGTTATAGAGAGTTCAGTTCAGGGCCAATCGTCCCCATGGCTTTGGGGTCTGAGGCAACACGTCATAGTAGGGAGCACATTGTGGACAAAAAGCTCAACACCTCATTACTGGAAAGAAAAAAGAGGAAGAGATCAGAGCATCACTATCTTTTTCAAAAGCATATTTATAAAACACAAAGAACTTCCATTACAGTACACTTTGTAAAGATTTCTCCAGCTCCGAAAGTACCAAGCTGGTGAACAAGCCTGTAACACGTGGGCCTTTAGGTGACCTTCCAGATCCAAACTACAACAGTGTGCAAAACACCTTCATAAGTGGTAGAATGTTATGAACAAGCTTTGAGCTCCACCTGAAAGTTAGAGCTGACGGTTAGGCGTTTACTAGCCTCTGGCTTCCTGAACTTGGGGCAGGAGGCAGGTGGACCAGCAGTAGTGCAGTAAGTTCTCTCAGTGGAATACTGGCAAGAGAAGGTGTTTACTCTCCGGCACTGAGCAGACAGGCTCTCAGATTGTCGGTACGAACACCACCACTTGCTTAACATTGCAGTGATGCTTTAGATAAGTGATTTCATTATTGCCCCGATGCAGGACTTTACAATTGTCACTGAGGAATCAAGGCTTGGAACATTTACACCACTAACTCACACTGGACCATGAACCTCACTCACCCTGTGCAGTCTCGATCCTAAGAAGCTATGAACCCAGGATGTGTTATCACTCCAATTACAGCTTTTCAGAAAGCAGGAAACAGTATATAATAGATGTGTGCAGCAGTTGTGTAACATATGTCAATTCCAAAACAATGTACTTTATCTAGGAGTGAAAGTGATTTTTGAGAAGGGAAACATGGAGTAACAAAGATTTGCTTGAAAATCCTTAATTTGGATTCTGACACTGAAACTGTGCATCGTCCACAGCTCCATGCACTTCCTGACTGAACATTTTGTATGTTTCTTCTGAAGATTTTCAAACTGCAAGCTAAGGGTGTTTTTCATTCTGACTCTCTGGTTTGCAAATCACATCAGTTTAACAAACTGACGCAGTAATGAGAAATCGTCAGGCTTGTTTGGCTTCCATAGGATGTAAGCCGTTTTTTTCTGGTCCCGTTAGCTAAGCTTCTGTCCTCAGTCTGGCCCAAAGAAACTGGGTTAAAATAAAATCAGAAATACAAATGATCTTCTAAAGTAGTAAGGAAATTAATGTAATTAATAACCGACAATCAGAACACAAAAGCAGAACAGCTTTAAGAAAGCAGTGAGTCAAACTGGGTGTAGTGCATGCATGTAATCCCAGCACTAAGGAGGCTGAGACAGGAGGGTTGCTGTGAGTTTGAGGCCAGCGAGGTATACATAGTGGTTTCAAGGCCAGCCTGAAGTGCATAGTGAGGTCCTGTCTAAAAAAAACAAAATAACAAAACAAAAAGAAAAGAGTACAAGAGTCAGTATGCTACTTCTTCCTTCTTGCTAATTTAATCCAAGATGCTCTTGAAAATGGAATAGAAAAGCCATAAATTTAGTAACTGTCTTCCTTTGTGTCTGACTTCAACATATTGGCAAACTATTTCCCAATGGGTGTGAATATGATGTGAATCTGTTGACAATAGAAGAATGGTAATTAGAAAATTAACCTTAGCCATAACAGATTTTAGCGACAAATAAGAAATAAAATAAAACTCCATTTTGCACTCATGTCTTATGAAGTTCCCCTTTCCTAATGTAGAGCCAGCCTTCTTGTTTTTACCATGTGCTGTTTTCAAGAAATCTGTTTTGTCCAACAAATGTATGCTCTGTGTGGCTATTTAAATTTTGTTCTACAGCTAATTTAATTTGACAGCCACTTTATCTATATGTTTACTGCATAGTCAGAAAATGAAGCTTTTAATTTGTAATTTTGGGGAAGGTGTTTGGCAAGTGTTGATTATATTTGAGAAGCTAAAAACACTTGATTTATGGAAGCATAAAAACATCTGTCTACCCATATGGGTCACACAGCTCCATGTCTTCCCATGTGACAGAGGAAGATTTAAAGTCAGGTGGCTTGCAGTCTCCTAGTCAGTGGATGAAAGGGGTGCAGTATTTGGGGAATCTACTTCCACTGAAAAGTCTTCATGAATTTTCTTTCCTCACTCACAATCCTACAGCTATGACTTTTCCACTATAACCATTTTCAATGCATTAAAGTCTATTTTGGATATCAACACTTTGCCTAACCCTGTGCTAGGTGCTTGTGACACAATGAAGAACAGAGCAGACAGGGTTCAGAGAGCCTAATAGAAAGGACAGACAAGATAAATGAGTTGTTTTAACTTGCAAGTTCCTATGATGAAAACACAGAAGGAGCTGAGATAAATAAGAGGAAGTGCTTCCTTAGATAAGGTATGCAAGGAAGAACTCTCCTTTTGGGAAATATCTCATTTAAACTGAGGCCTAAAGAAAGAACAGAAGTAGGCAATACCAAGAGTGTGGGATGGAAAACGGAGGAGGTTGAGACCAGAAGGACATAGTATTAACCCAAGGAGGGCTGAGCTGATGAGCACAGGTGTCACCTCAGGCCACCACCTGAGTGTGGGCACCAACAAGACAGGCTAGAAAGTATCTAGATGGCACTAGAAATCTACAAAGACTAGACACCATGTCCTGGGTGTTGACATCCTGGGCCATCAATGTTCTGGTCCACTTGTCCCTGCCTTCCTTTTCCATTTTTTCATTTTATCATAATCTTTTCTTTTCCCTTACTCCCTTTCCCCTACCCTTCCCACTTTCCCTACACCTTTAGCCCTTTTCTTCCTATTTCACATTGTTAATTATCTCATTAGGATCTTGTGTACTATTGTAGTTTTTCACACCAGAGAAACTATTTGGTATTTACACGTGTGACTTATTTATTTCACTTATGAGTAAATCCTCAGAATGAATCAATTTTCCTATGAATGAATCTAATTTCTCATTCTTTATGGCTGAGTAGTATTCCATTTTATAGAAAAACCACATCTTCTTTATCCAGTTTCCAACATTTGGATGGGCAAATGGGCTGTTTCCAAGTTTTAGCTATTACAAACAAGAGGTAAAAGTGAGAACCAAGACCTGTCACTTACAGGTACAAGATCCCAATAATGACTGTAACTGTACTGTATGCCTAGAATGTACCAATAAACTCAATAAAAAGAAAAAAAATATTCTGGTCCAATGAAAGCCTACAGACTGCAGTGAACTGTGTAATTTCCAACCCAGAGCAGGTTGTGAGAAGTACTGCAGAACGGCTAGGTGTGGCAAAAGCAGAGTAGATGGCTCTCCATAGGCAGGTGAGGACAGCTGCAGGAGGAACAGTGACAGTGAGGACAAGGACACTAATTGCTCACTCAGTGAGTCGAACCACTGAGCAATTACTCAGTTTATTCCACCAACATAGGCCCCTCCTAAGAGCCATGGTAACCCGTTCTTGTGCTCAGAGGCACAGACAAAACTCATTTTTAGCAGGATTCTGAGGGGGAGATGAGAGTAGCTTGTTCGGAAGCTCCCTCTTTGGGGTTCCCCGATCCCCAATCCCAGGATTGACTGCTTTTCCTGAAATGAATACTGGTGTCTGCTGGGAATAGCTACTGTGAGACAGATTATGCCAGCAGTACTTGCCCCGTGCCAATGTCTGTAACCTTGCAACAGCACGTAACAGTTATGATTAACCCTGTGAGAGATGTAAATTTCAAGGTTAAGAATACTTTTGTGACTTATCCAAGGACTCACGACTAGTGAACAACACAAGCTTAATTCCTACCCATGTATTACAATTATCTATACCCTCATATGTGTTTTCTGATGCTGGGAGCCCTAACTGGGGAAGCTGCTGTGTGACACCCTCTCCGGTGAGTGTGAAGGAAAAAGAGGCTCCGCTTGAGCTAACTATATCCCCTCTTTTGAGTGCAAGCCTGAAGTTTCCAGGCTGGAGGGCAATGGAGGCCAGATGCCAAGGACTGAGGTGTTATCTTTGATTTTGCTCTCCACACAGTGCTCCAGAAACTGCAGTGGGGGCTTTAAGATCCGAGAGATTCAGTGTGTGGACAGCTGGGACCATCACCGAAGCCTGAGGCCATTTCACTGCCAGTTCCTGGCTGGCCTTCCTCCCCCACTGAGCATGAGCTGTAATCCAGAGCCCTGTGAAGAGTGGCAGGTGGAGCCCTGGAGCCAGGTATGGCACCCGCAAGGGGACAAGATGCGTTACCATAGACATGTGTTAAACACACAACATGCATTACCACAGACATGTGTTACCACAGAGCCTAGAATCTGGGAAAAAATATCCAGGACCTCTACATCCCCAAAAAAGAATTGAGCAGGACACACAGTAAGAAAGACAAAGATTTATTAAAGATAGTACTTTCCTCAGAGAGGGAGCCAGCAAAAGAGAAAACTCAAGAGTGAGTTCGACTCTGAGTGAACTGTCTGCTTTAGGCTTTGAGGCATTTCTTAGGACCTTTCCAGAGTAATGGAGTCTGGGTTACCACTTGAGGGGACTCTGTCAAATTAAATGAAAGCCTCTGTGTTCACATAAGGAGGGGTCATTTCTTATTTTATATGGGTGTGGAGGGACCCATCATGGCTGCCAAATCCCTAGGAGTATGGTGTCAAAACTACATAGCTAATGATATTATAATGATCAGGGGGCTACCCTCAGTTGGGCAAATTCTCCTTAGGTTCAGGTCAGAGATCAAGAAATTGTGATAAGGGTAAGGGCATATTTTTTAAGTTCATGTCAGGATATTAATATGATAAGGTGAAGGTAGGACTATATTTCTCAGGATCATGTCAGAATGGTAACGAAATATGGTGAGAATAGAATGCTCTTTTGGTCTCCAAGAGCAGAAAGGCATCCCATGTGCTGTGAGCTGCCTAAGGCCAGGAGGTCTCCCACACTATCAGGATCCTGCCTGAAGATCACCCTTGTGTCATGGTAGTGACCGGCTTCCATTGGGTGACTGGACCGAGTATAAGGGAAGCTGAGCAGGTCAAATACTTTCAGATACTGAAAGAATTCCACTGAGAAGATTATTGGTGTGGTTTCAACCATGACAATGCAATATTTCATTACAATATCATCTCCTAGAATATATGTTGAGTAATTGGGGTCCCAGCTGGGGAAATGAACATGATGGAATGATTCAAACAAAGGCCACTTTGATGGGAGCCATTTAAGACAGCTTTTCACGCTAGTCTGAGACGTCTGCAATCAGGCTGGGGGTAAAGGCAAGAGCCTTTTCACCTAGTAGTACAGTTTTAGTTGCATCTCTCAGTTTAAGGTCCAGATCACTGTTTGCACAAACAAAAAGAAGTGTATGTGTGTTTTTGCTTTTTGTGAAAGGATGTGAAGGCCTTGGCTTCTCTGGGTCTTGGTTTTACTCTGGCACATGAAAACAAAGTTATTATTTTTTTCCTCATTGGGTTTATTGGTACAATCTAGGTATACAGTACAGTTACATTCATCATTGGGATCTTGTACCTTTACATGACAGGTCTTGGTTCTCATATTTTCCCCATACCCCTGCCCTCACTTCAACCCCTCCTCCCTTCCCTATTTACAAAAACTTTCTTTCCATTTTTTCATTTTCTCATGTTTTTTTCTTTTCCCTTATTTTCCTTTTCCCTGCTCTTCCCACTTTCCCTACACCTTTAGCCCTTTTCTTCCTATTTCCCATTGTCAGTTATCTCATTAGGATCTTATGTACCATTTTAGTTTTTTAATGAAATATGAGGATCTCATTTGGGCACAGATAGATGTATCAAGAGTTAAAAAATACACCCAATGACATCCAAGAATGGTAGAAAAGCAAGAAAAATTGGAACCCAGTATATTTTGAGTGTGTCTATGGGGTAGATTCTTTACCTATAGTACTTGATTTAATTTTCACAATGACCTAGATGGTTGCCCTTATTCACTCCACTTTATAGTAAAGAAATGAAAACTAAAAGAGATCAATAAACCTAGCTGAGGTTGCACAATGAAAAATAAATGAAGTTTTTAGTTTAAACCGCAGATATAATCCAATGTTTTTGACCTTTCCGTTGTGGAATTTAGCCCAATGGACATTGAACAAAAAATGAACTTAGAAGAAAGAGTGAATTGATAACTCGTTCAGGGACACCTATCATGTACCAAAGAAGGGAAGGGAGAGAATCAAAACCTGTGGATACAGAATTAGTGTTTTACTGTTAGTCCACTGAGCCAAGCACTCATGTGGATACCAGATGCTCTGGACCACTACCCGGTGTTTACAGACACTGCTGCCCCTTCTTTTTCCTCCTTGTCTTCCCCAACTCTGGAATACATGAACTGACTGCTACTCTCTTGCTCTGAAACCAAGCCTGCAAACTTTCCATACATCCCGAGCCTTGCCTGGACTTCTTCAGGTGAAGCTTCTAGATCCTGGAGTTTACAGAGGAACCTAGTTTGCTTGATCAGAAAAATAACATTTGAAGGTTACTAAAGGTGGGCAATCAGATATTTCTTGTCAGAAAAAAAGATCCATTGTTTATACTTCCTCAGTAGCTCTGGCAGCTGCAACATTCGTCCATTCCCCGAAGGCCTCCCACCACCCTCCTTCCTAAGTTTCTCTGTTCTCAGAAAATGACAAAGTTGGGAGACTTGTCTGAGAGAACAGGAGATAGGAAATATAAAAGTCAATTCACTACTGTTGAGCTGTTGAGAGTTTTACCATTTTAAGGTGCTTTCCCTGAACAACCTGAGCTGTTCAGCCTATGCACATTACCAAATGAACTGCCATCCTGGGAATGTTCTGAACTCATTTGGTCAGCCAATACAGACTGTCCATAAGACAAATACATTTTAGCTTTGGGATTGTGAATGATATATTTCATAATTTTCTGGCAGCAGTAGTCAAATGTTAGCATGCTCCACAATCACAACTGGAGGACTTCCCAACACACAAATGAATGTGTTCCTCTACTGAGTTTCCAATCTGGGGGCCTTGCCTTTTTATTATTACCTGGAAGATGCTAATGTTGCTGGTCTGATGACAGCACTTTGAGAACCTTTACTCCCTTTTTCTGCAGATTACTTGGTCAGGGGTCCCTAAGTCTGTGTGTACATAGGTAGGTACATAGGGATCTCAGACAAGGGATTCTTCTTCACTCCTTAAGTAGGCTTAAAAAAACGTTGAATAAATGGGGGGGATCCACATTGATCCTCAAATCTGGAATATTGTGAAAAAAGGCTAACTGTATGTTAATTTTTCTGTTTTCTATGATACTAACATGTGTGTGTGTGTGTGTAGTATATATAGTATATATAGTATACATATATATATAGTGTGTGTGTAGTATATATAGTATATATGTATACATATATATATATATATATATATATAGTTCCAGATAGGATGGCATGATGTTGGCAAGACAACCACAATTTTGTTGCCATTATTATTGTAATCATGGCATAAATATGGTTTCTCAAAGTGCCTTCAAGGTATTTGTATCAGTCAGTGCTCACTAGAGAGATAGATTTAATGTAAGATACATAAATATATAAGGACTTACAAGGTAGGCTTACAGCGGCCACCCACAGAGTCAGGTGTCTGCACACTGGAGAGCTGAAGGATCCAATGAAAGGTTAAAGGCCTGGAGCTCTCAGGAGAATCCCCAGCGAATTCATACCAGGAGACCCCAGGGTCTGCACTGGAAGGCTGAAGAGTCTGCACTGGAAACCAACAGACAACATCCAAGGTGAACATGAAGACTGGAGCTCCTCCGCGGAAACAGAAGCAAGGCTTCCTTCTTTGTTTCCCTTTTATTCCATTCAGGTTACAAACCTTTTGGCTGGTGCCACCCACATCCCAGGTGGGTCTTCTGTCTTCAGCAAATCCTTTCAACCACACCCAGAATTATGCTGATCCTGTCTATTTGAGCATTTCTTACTCAAGCAGACACAGTTAACAGTCACAGTATTAAAAGTCATTTTCAAAGAGTCTTAGCAAATTACTTAATTTTCTACATGATATTAAAATGAAACTATATTTTTAAAAATTACTCTAGTGAAGAAATCTTTGACATATTTAAAGATGTGTCCCTTGTACATACAATTAGCCATCTTGAGTCTATTTTGTGAGCATTATTATAGTCCATACATCAGAATCCTAAGAAAATCCATAAATATTACCCTTCTTTGCATAGATACCTGTAATTCTAAAACCTTTATATAGTGGTAGGGTAACATTGAATCACATTTTAGCAAGAAGCAAACAAAATTGTATTGCAAATGTGTGGTTTCCTTTGGGGCTGTCAGTGACGATCATAATGAAAGAGCCTCCAACTCACATTTTGGTTTCTAGACACTTGTTCCTAAAGGCAAAATGTAGTTAATATAATTTTCATTCTGCAGAGACTACTCATGTAAATTTCCTACCAATATTCTTTTCTTTTGACACATTATTTGACACTGGACTATTTGGCATTTTCTCATTTTTCTTCTCTTAGCCTCAAAATTTCCTTCATCAACTTCCCTCTTTGGCTACTTTTCTCTTGCCTAAACAGCTAGAACGGTTATCGTAAAGAACCTGCAAGGATATGCCAGGTTCCGGTGCAGACACTAATGCTTCCGATAATACAGGACAAAAACAATAGTATGCATCACTGAATGCATCACCGCCTGATTTGACCTAACCTGCCCATATTGTGTATCAGTGCTCCAGGTCCTGTGGAGGTGGAGTTCAGGAGAGAGGGGTATCTTGTCCAGGAGGACCGTGTGACTGGATGAAACGACCCCCATCCACCATGCCCTGCAATAAGCATGTTTGCTGTCACTGGGCCACTGGGAACTGGGACTTGGTAAGAATTGGTTGTTTATACTGTATTTCACTTTAGCTTTAAAAAAGAAAGTAGCATCTGTTTTCATTTGATTATAAAAGTCACGTGCATCCATTACAAATGGTCAAAGTGTTCATTGAGGAGGCTGAGGCAGGAGGATCACTGTGAGTTCAAGACCAGCCTGGGCTACATAGTGAGTTCCAGATCAGTCTCAACTATGTAGTGAGACCCTGTCTCAAAAAAAAAAAAAATGATCAAAGTGTTCATTGATATATAGCATGTTTCTACGGAACTTCAGTTTTAATAGCTTTTACCATTAATACTTCAGTCTGCTGAAAGAATTCAGAGGAGAAAAGACCAAATACTTTCAAAAGAGAAAAAAATCAAATGGAGTACAAATATTATTCCAAAGGCACAAAGCCTAAAGTTATTTTGCGTCCAGCACCTTAAGTTCACTGTTCTTTTTCTAGAGTCAGAAGGACTCTTCTAGTCCTGAAGCTTTACACTTAGTCTGACTTAGTGAGTTTCAGTCCTCTTATCTTCCTACAGAGCAGTTTGCCAGATGGCCAGCCTGTTTGATGAAGAGGCAAACAAAGTAATTCAACTGAAAATGAGAGAAAGATTTATTATTCTCTTATAATGTATTTATTGTGAAACAAAACTATCTCTGATACTGAAAACAAACCTCTCCCATAGACTGACTTCTCTCTGACGACTCATACATCATTCTAACTTGTTGTACATGGGTTCTCTAGGACACACAGTCTTGAGACAAAAAAAGCTAACACTTTATTAGGAAATACAACACCAGGAAACAGGAGTGATAGCAAAAGAGTAAAGAGCAAGATATTCAGACATGAAGTGGTACCTCACTGTACTGGTCATTTTACTTAATTGGCCATCAGTTGGTATTGATTGGTATTGAAGAGGAGAAGTTGGTATTGATTGTGGCTGCCCGCTGGAAAATCTTCTGAAAGCTCTATGAACCCTGCCTTTTATGGCAGTTTATACAAGAGTAGGAGAGAAGAATTAGCCATGCACTCCTATGTCCCTCTCTGTAACAAGTCTTCCCTTCACACCAAAAGTGGAATGACTAAACAAGCAGAATAAAAGAAACCCCAAGGAAATAGAAAACCCATAAGAAATGGATGAAATCCTGCCCCTAAAAAACTATAATTAGTCTCTTTAGAAAAAAATTTTTAAATGCACCCCTAATGTGAGATCAAGAAGCAACGGGAAGGAACTTGGAGAATAGGAGAACTTTAGAAAAAATTTAAAGTATAAAGCATAAAAAATTAAGTCAAAGAATTAGGAAAATAATTTGAGGAAATGTCACAAGAAAAGGAAAAAAAGAGCAGGGTGTGGTGGCACACGCCTGTAATCCCAGCACTTGGGAGGCTGAGGCAGGAGGATCGCTCTGAGTTCAAGACCAGCCTGGGCTACACAGTGAATTCCAGGTCAGTCTCAACTACATAGTGAGACCCTGTCTCCAACCCCTGCCAAAAAAAAACAAAAGGAAAAAAAGACAAAAATAAATTAAGATTAAAGATAAGAAAATTAGAGCACAAGACCAGCAGATACAACAGCAAAAGAATAAGATTTCAGAAGGGAGAATTAAGAAAAGAGAAAGGAAAAATTATCAAAGAACTAACACCAGAAAAAATTTCCAAATCTGAAGGGTATAAGTCTCCATAGAAAGAGCTGCATATACCATAATTGAAAGGAAAAAAAAAAAACTAGGGTGGAAGAGGGAATTTTGTTGCTATATCAGTAAAATGAGAAAAATCTTATTTTTCATGCTATTACAAGGATTGAATTCAAAAATATTCCCTATGTGAATAAAACATGGCCAGCCATATATTAATAATATGTACAAGGAAATTATTCAATGAATGTGTTTTCATTCATCATAAAACATCAAATGGTTTCTCTTTAGATTTCTTCATTTGATCTATGCTGATTGAGAGGTAGCAATAACAGAATCTGATCTTCATGTATGTCTTACAGCCTACCACAGAGCACGTATTTCTGAGTGCTGGGAATCAACTTTTTCAAGTAAGGCGCTTAGAGTTTCAAAGAACTCTTGTCTTTTGGACAGTACCCATAGGATTGATGAGTCTCTAGTAGAGTTCAGTTTAGGATGTGACAAATTCACTGAGTCAGTAGCCTAAACTAGGAGATCACCAAGTTTAACCCCAACCTTATTTGGAGCACTCACTGTGCACAAGGATTCTTGGTTTTATAGGATCTGAAGGAGTAGATTTGACCCCTAGGAAACATACACTTTACCTTTAAGACCCCAAACTCATAGCATTACCACCATCAACAAAGTCAAATCAGCAACCCTACTTCCTGCTTAATCCTCCAATTAAATCAACAAATTCATACATCTTAATTAAAAGCTATTTTAATTGCCTAATAAATGTAAAGATGGTGGTTGCCTCTGTTTACTTTTGTGTTTGATTTGGAACTAGATCTTTATCCTAATTTGCCCCACCCAAGACTGCAGCACCTGGAAAAAGGCCGTCTTCATCTCACTAATCTCTTAGAAGCAAAAATTAAGAAGTCATTTGGCCTTATATTTACACAGACCTTATATTCACTTCATTTAATGATGAAGTGAATGATCTTTGATGATGTATAATAAACAAGAAATCTCAACTCTCCTAGGCCCTAGCATAGGGTTATATTGTGTTCTGGTTTGGTTATTTTCCATCAATCTTCTTTCTGTCCTCTGTTACAAACTTTAATTGATTCTGGATCAGTTGAGTAGTTATTTCTTACTCTTTTATTTCCCACATTTGTGGAGAAATTGAGATAAATTCACTGAATAAAACCAACTTCAGATTTAATCAAAAAAATCTCTGACTTTTTCCTGCAAACATGAAGCTCCATGAAGATCATCATGTTTGAGTCTTTATATAGACTAAAATAAAATAGAATAGTAGATATTTCTTAAAAGTAACACATTTCTCTTCCTAGCCTCTCTATGGGAGGCCTTTAAAAGAAACAGGGTTTTACTAGCAGTATTCTGAGTTGATTGGTGGTATCCCAAGTAATTGGTAGAAATTTTTTTATCCAGTGAGCTGGATATTCAATAATATTTCAAAAGGCAAATAGAATTCTTTGAATTTAGTGATTTTTCTAGAATTTTACTTGTAGTAGTCTTTTCAAGCTACTCAGTGAGTAGTTTTGAATGCCATGCTAATTACTGTGATTCATGAAGAGAAAAGAACTTGTTTCTGTCCTTTGGGAGTTTTTGCTCATGTAAGAAAGATGAGGCTGAAAATCATGAAACATGGTATAAAATGGATCACAATAACCAAATGTAGACATAACACAAAGGTCCCTCAGTAGATGGATGGATGTAGAAAATTTGGTATATACATAAAATGGAACATTATTCCACCTTGAAAAGGAAATTTTGACATATTCTGCACCATAGATGAAACTTAGACATTATATTAAATGAAAAAAGACAGTCACGATGGAAAAACACTATATGATTCCACTTATACGAGGTACCTACAGTTATTAATTTCACAGAGATAAAAAGTAGAATGGTTCTTGCTAGGAGCTAGGGTGAAGATGGAGAATTGTTAAGTTTTGTTTAATGGAACAAATTAGTTAGGCAAGATGAAAAAGTTCTAGAAATGGATGGTGAATAATGTGAATGCACAGTAAATGTGAATGTTCTTAAGACCACTGAACTGTATTGTAAAAAGTATTAAAACAGTCAATTTATTTTTTAAAAATATATGAGATAAACTCAGACACATTTTCTCACCTTCTTAGGAATCCCCTTTTAGAAGTTATTACCAGGCCAGATGTGGTAGCCAGTTGCGCCAACACCCTGGGAGGCTGGGGCAGGGAGGATAGAAAATTCAAGCCCAGCCTGGACATTTAGCAAGACCCTGTCTCAAAATGAAAAATAAAAACTGCAGGGGATATTGCTCAGTGTAAAGGCTCTGGGTTCAATCTCCAGTACTGCCACCAAAAAATTAAAAAAAATAAAAAAGTTGCTTCCACAGCCCAGAATAGTATCCTCCCTGATACAGGAGCCGATCATCACATTACAGCGAAATCTTGTGTTTGAATAACATGAGATTACATATGGTCCAGCTACCCCAATCCCAAAGAACACTGCTTCCCTGCCCCTTCCTTGATCTCTGTGTGCAGCTCTGTTTCTGCCTCCATCCCAAATTATTCCTGCACTCCACCATGGTCTTCCTCTCCCATTTCTTTGGCTGATTCTACTCTCAGCTTTCCTAGAAGTTCCATTCTTTTTACCCACATTTGACCACCATCCCCAAAGCAACACTAGTTCAGAGAAATTGGAGAACACCAAATTTTTTGGTTGCATTTCAACCATTTTCTGTATGTTTTGCTCCATATATTTATGATGCAAAAATGAATGTTTGGTTTGCGAGTTTTAGCTAGAACTGAGAGCATATAACTACAAGTAGTCCATCTCTCATCCTGTTCCACTCTAAGCATTTGCTTAATTCCACTCATATTTTCTGCCATCTGTTTTTTTTCTCTTCCTAATTGGCATAAAATGTGGCCACTAACTGTACTTTAATTTGCATCGTTCACCCTCATGGAATTTCTTTCTGCATCTTAATTCCAAATTCCCAAGGGAGTGAATGACTAGCCCAGCTTTATTCAGCAACCATCCCTTGGAACAGTTGCATGTTTCTTAGCTGGCAGTGCTCCACTGTACTACTGTAGATGCTTAGATCCCAAAGCTGTAGCCATGTGGTGGGAGCAACTGGCCTTTCTCAAAGAGCACCTTCTTCAGAGAGCCCAGTAGTAAAACAAGCTGAACTCAACTCAGGAATATTCAAAGTGTAGGAATCTTCTCACATTCACATCTCTAAATTATATCCTTTTATTTATTCTATGACTTTTTTTTCAAAAAGATTCTCAGTAATGGAGGAGACTTTCCCATAATTGACTGTGGTTGGGTGCTCTGCTGAGGTTCCCCTGGTGATCCTGGGTGAGAACTCCAACTCTCTGTGTGTCCCTCTCTTTCAGTGCACCATGTCCTGTGGAGGTGGACTTCAGAAGAGGACTGTCCAGTGTGTCCCCTCGCAGAACAACACAGCTGAAGACCAAGATCACTGCCTGTGTGATCATGAACCCAGACCAGCAGAATTCCAAAACTGCAACCAGCAAGCCTGCAAAAAGAGTGCTGGTGAGTGAATGGGTTCCTCAAGGGAGAACAGAGCTTGACACAAATAAGTCATTCTGCATGACTCGACTTATGGATAGCTTCATGGTCCCTTTGCCTAACAGAATCTTAGTGCTGAAGAGTATAGTCAGCAAGTGTGAGTGAACTTTCTGACTTGGTGGGGTCTGTCTTTAATTCCTTGAAGAATTATCTCATCTTTTTCCCTATCTCAAAACATGTTTATACTGATGTCAGCCCCCACGAATGAGACTTAACTTGTTTTTCATAGGTGTTTTAGAGATGTTCTAGCCTCTCAGGAATCCATCAAATACGGAATGGTCTCTTCTATTCATTTAATTCCACTGTCTCAGGTCAGGTTCCCCAGAAGTAGGCTGTAGGTGAAGGTGTGCAAGAGATTCATTAAAGAAATGTTTCCAAGGAAGACCCTTAAGGCAGTGAGAAGCACCACAAAAGAGAGAGGAAGCATGGGCAGGGTGTCCTCTGAGTCATCTGAAGTCCCAGCTTCAGCCTGGTTTGCAAGAGAGCTCCAGTGTGTACATTATACTTACAGTTGTCTGCTCCTGAGCCAGTGAGCTGCACTTTCACACTCATACTCTTCAGCTGTTGCCCACTTCCCCCGGGGCAGTGCATTTGCAGACATTTAAGCTCTGCTGTAGAGATCAGGGAACTTCTGTAGGCTTCAGGTACATGGGTACCCATGTACATGTAACCAGGGTACATGGGTATTAGGAGCTAACAAAGTTAGATGAGCAGAGGCACCTGAAAATAAACAAAATAATCAAATGAAAAGGCAGTGTTGCTTGCTACATTCAGTTTTCACTTTCAAAAATATCTTAGGGGGCTGCAGATGTGGCTCAGTGGAAGAATATTTCCCTGGCATGCACAAGGCCCTGGGTTCTAATCGGCACCAAGAAGATATCTCAGTTGTGACGTTTTGTGACTACCTTAAGCACTGTGTTTTAAAAAGTAGTCTAGAGCAGTTAAGTGGCATGTTTGTGATACACAGTGGAATGACATCTGAACCAGAATGCAAAGGCAGACCTCCTTTTCACTCTTCATGTGTCATATTTCCTTAGAGGTGGAAAGAATCCAGCTTTGGAAAGGACAGCAATAGATCTGCATCCCAGAGCAGCCATTCTCTATCTATGTGACTTGTCAAGTTGTTTAGCTTTCTAAGACTCAATTTCTTTTTGTATATAAAAGAAATAATAGGATAAACCTTACAGAGTTGTAAGGAACTTTTAATACATGAGTGAACTCCAAAAGACAAATGCCTCATCAGTTATGTCCCATAAGCAAGTTACTTCATCTCAGTAGCCTGCAGTTTCCTTATCCACAAATAAGTTGGGCTGGAGATTTTGTTCAGTGGTTCTTCTGCCTGCCTTGCAAGCACAAAGACCACAAATAAGTAGATTCAACCATGAGCTCAAGTTCATTCCACTGATATCTTTGACTCCACTGATCTGCAAGATTTTTAATTAAATTTAAAACCTGGAAAGAAAATTCTCGAGCAAGGAGAAGATGTTCTCAATAGTTTACTTATATTGTTTACAAAATGGAGAGTGTCTTGCATAGATGTAGTACAGCTGTTGAGATTTAGAGTATTGGGATGCCCCTAATTAAAGAACCATCTGTGAGACATCAAGTAAGGTTCATGCTGCTTCTGTAAAAGCAGCATGTTGGTAGGACGCTGTGATAATCTTTTTCCAAAGATTTCTTAGAACAATCTGGGAATGGTGATACACACCATAATCTCAATACTCTGGAAGGCTAAGATAGGAGGATCACAAATTCAAGCCCAGCCAAGGCAATTTAGGAACATAGCAAGAGCCTGTCTCCAAAAAGAAAGGCAGGGAGTAACTCGGTGTGATAGACCTGGATTCAATCTTTAGTTCTGCCAAACACACACACACACACACACACACACACACACACACACACACACACACACACAGGTATCTTAAAGGTGAGAATAAAATATGTGCTTGCCTCCTTCCAAGTTCTAAGACATCCAACAGAGACTGCTCTTAGAGTTAACCCTGAGAACATTTTCCTAGAATTGTTTAATTCCAAATTATGCATTTATTCAACAAATAATTGTTGAGCACTTACTGCATTCTAAACATAATTTCAAAGAAGAAACAAAAGCACAAACTGGTGATCGGCCCTATGAGAAGAGAGGAGAGAAAGGGGATAGGCTGTGAGAGTATTTGGGGAGGACAAGGTCAGGCAAGAGGTTCCAGGAGGAGTTTTCAGCTTCCAGAATAGCCAGGAAGATGACAAGATAGTGCCATGGCATATAAATCTGACTCAAGTACAAAGCTCAAGAGGAGTTATAAATGGTAGCATTGGAGAGATGAGCCAGAGTTAGAGATAAAGAGATTTGTAAAGCATGTGGATGAATTTGAACATTATACCGAGAGCAAAAAGGAGCCATGAAAATAGCTGAAGCAGAAGAGAAGATAAAAACATTATTCTGGCTACAAGTCTAAGGAAAGACAGCAGGAGCCATTAGGAGACAGGAGCTGTACTCCATGCAAAGGAGATGCATGGCATGAAGTCAGGCAGAAATGCAGAGAGAGAGAGAGAGACAGAGAGAGAGAGAGAGAGAGAGAGAGAGAGAGTGGAGGGAGAGAGAGAGAGGGAGAGAGGGAGGAGGAAAAATCAGGTATATTCAGAAGCTAATTGACAGGACTTTGTGCCAGAGAAAAAGAGAAGAAAACCAAGGTTCGTATCTCTGACTTGGGCTGCTGAGAAAATGAGGCTGTAATGTGCTGAGAAAAACAAAACAAAACAAAACAGGGTGGGTTTAAAGATGGGAGAAAGTAATTAATATCATTATTGAGGGCATGTTTGCTGCGGGGCCTGTGAGTCATCGAGGTAAGAGTATCCAGTAACTGGTTTCTTGTACAGTTTCAGAAGTCAGGAGAGATGATGGTTGGAAATCCTGACTGAAATGCACCAAGGGAGAAATGCTTTAGATATGATTACCATGGGTAGCTTCTTTCCAACCGTCCTTTGCATTTGAGGGTAGCTTTCATGTCTGTATTTCATATACCACAAGAAAACATCTAAGACTAATTTTTATAAGTGAGATCGAATTTAGTCTTCCAAACTCTTGCTACTCAAGACCAGATGAATTGGCTTTCCTGGGAGATTCCTAAAATGTCAGATCTCAGACCTCACCCTAGACCTATTAAATCAGAACCTGTAATTACATGAGCTCCCTCAGTGATTTCAGTGCTCATTAAAATCAGAGAAGCACTGCGTTGTAGACCAAAGAGTCATTTTGGGGCCCCTTTCTTTAATTTCATCTCCTCTCCTATGACACCATGTTTTTAAAATATTGAGGCTTTAAAATTCTTTCCATATTGTATTTTTATATAATTAAAGTGGTCACCTAATCTTGTTTGATCATTTCTGATGTTATGGGTTATTGATGGTATTTAAAATTATATAGATTTTTTTTAACTGTCTTATTGCTAGACAATGTCATCTTCAATAATCAAAACTGGGTCCATTGTGCATATGGTATTTTTCATCTTGAAATCTCATACTGAATAGATGGTGAATAACAGTTGGCTGACAATTAATAGAAATAGCAATGAATTCCACTTAACAACCATTATCAGGACAACAAAAGTTAATTACTAGCTTTTCCTGAAAGGGGAGGCATGTGCTTACTCACAATGAAGCAACATGAAAGAACACTTACAAGAAATTCTTTGATTTAAGGAGCGAATGCCCCACCCTGACCCCATACCCCTTAAAATGCTTTGAAAATAAACTATTCAAAGTCAAGACTCTTGTCAGCTGGTCATTATAATAAACATACCCCTTTATCTACCATGTAAGATTGGATATGAATTCATATAAGGCTTGTTTCCCTACAAGCCATTTCATTTTTTTAAGTATCATCTACATTTTTAATAACTTAAAATTTAATTTAGAGCTATCTTTTCCAAGGCAAGGTTTATAAAATGCTTTCCAAATATCTGGGTGAAAACCAAAACAAAAGTCTTTTGTGCATCATTTCTTGATTTTGTTTTTGTTTCATTCTTGCTTTCTTATTTAGGAAATGAGGGGTATAAATGCTAGGAAAAGAATAGAGACAAGCTGAAAATTCTAGCATTTGGGAGGCTAAGACAGGAGGATTGCAAGTTCAAGCCTGACCTTGGTCTACATAGCAAGACCCTGTCTCAAAAAGCAAATAATACAGAGTGCTTTCATCTTTAAATCCCATTAGATATGAAGGAATTATTTGGTTTATAAATTTTATATTGAAGGATATCCTTCTGTACTAATAGGATTTTATTTATTCTTTTAACTAGAAAACATGACTGATTACAATATATGTCTTAAGAAAGTGTTAAAAGCTGAGGATGCTATTAGTAAGATATAGTTCCTGGTCTCAAGGAGCCCTATATCTTATAAAAACTGTGTTTACTAATGATGAAAGTATCTTTCAACTTTATTTCGTGAGCAAAATATTATCTCCTCAACCTAGACATAGCTAACAGACAAAACTGCTCCTTTAAATTTCCAAGAGTGCTTTATTTTGAACAGGCAGAGGACAATTAGGATCTCCAATCTAAGTTGTTCCTAATTATAAGCATTGTGCATACTTCAGGGATGGGATCCAACTGGCTGATGAATACAACAAACCTTCATTGTTTTACAATAGTAACTAGAACTGGTGTAATTAATCTCTACCATGATGTTGGGCTCATAGTCATTGTCTAAATGAGCTGCTAAACATAGACTTGGAAAGCTAACTACCAATATAGGCCACCAGTATTCTCCACTCCCCCTGCTGGTTCCCACTCTCCAACAGTAGGATGCCAAGACTCAGCATGTTCCCAGCGCTCAGAGGACATTTGAAAAGGAGGACTCATGATCTCATGGTTCCCAAGATCAAACAATGATGCTAGGCTTGGTCAGGACTTTTTTAGTCATTTAGGTATCTCCCTAATTTGAAAAAGAGGGGCTTGTGTGTCAAACTACAGAGGCTGTTCTGGGCAAGGACTCATATATGTGATTCCACCTGTGCCCAATTCCAGAGACTCATTCTCCTAGATCCAAAGCTTTAATGGCACTAAGAGAGCACAAAGTTCTACCAGCACCATCTACATACCAGCTATGTGATTCTAGACCAAGTGCTGAGCCTTTCTGGAACCCCCCAATTATTAAAAGGATATATATATATATAT